CCTAACCCTTAACCTAACCCTTAACCTAACCCTAAACCTAACCCTAACCCTTAACCTAACCGTAACCCTAACCCTAAACCTAACCCTTACCTTTATGTGAATCGGCTTGTTTTAAAAACGCTTTTTAAAGCGCCCTTTTTTCTCCGCCGTCGTCGTTGTCGCGCTGCTGATGACGTCAGCGACGTGCTTTAATCGGGCGCGCTTTAGTGGACCGCGGTTTTGTCGTGCCACGAAAAATGATGGAACTGTTAAATACGATGACACAAAGATTGTACCCAGATGACACACTGTAAGGTTAATATACTGACCCACAGAAACATCTTGATCTTAATTGTACAGGTTGGGCACCTGATCCAGAAGGCTGCAGCAGACAGCAATATGAAGAGAGTGACCCTTGAGCTTGGTGGGAAGAGCCCAAACATCATCATGTCCGATGCTGAAAGTAAGACCTTCTTCCTCCTGGGGGCAGATAGGAGATGGAGTTGCATCTGGAGGGGGGATTAGCAGCTGCACACTCAGCCCAGCAAGTTGGATAAGCTCTTCACTGAAATGCATGTCGTGTACCCCGTCGGTGAAGATGACAATGTCCCGGTCCGTTTACCCAGTTTAGAAAGGGCAAAGGCATTTTGGGTCCGCCCTCTTCAGCCTTGATCAACATTCCTCAATCCTGGCTGTGTTGGACTGATGAGGAAAATAGGAGTTGTGACATGCTGAGATCTGAAACCAGTCCAGATAAAGGCTAGTATCTAATTTTCAGAAGGAAGAGAAATTAAATCCACTGATTACGGTTGCTACTCTCACTGCAGTAATTCAAGGGATCATTTGGAGGACTTTCCATCTTGTTCCAAATGGCCTCATCTGGATGCTTTCTATTCCCCCCCGCCCCTGCTTTTTTTTTCTAGTGGACTGGGCTGTAGAGCAATCTCATTCCGCGTTGTTCTTCAATCAAGGCCAGTGCTGTTGTGCTGGATCTCGGACCTTTGTCCAAGAAGATATCTATCATGAGTTTGTGGAGAGGAGCGTGGAGAGAGCCAAGTCCAGGGTAGTTGGGAACCCATTTGACTTCCAAACTGAACAGGGGCCTCAGGTAGGAACAAAACCATTCCAGTCTGCTGCCATCCGCTCTTTCGGGAGCGCCTTTAAAATAATATCTTGGATTATAGAAAAATGGAGCCATTGTTCTAGAGAGGAAAAAAAAAATCCTCTCGAACACCGTACATTACACAAAACAATCTCTTCATTAACTTAAAATGTTAAGCTTTCCGTCCTCCTGGGTTAAAAAAACAAAGTTAAAACTCACAGATAGAAATTATAATTATTTCCCCAGGGCTACTGGCTTTAATAACTGTCATTGTTGCAAACCTCAGCATATTAAATGCTTGGTGAATTTTTGTTCATACAAGCGGATTTGCTCCTTTATGGTAACAGCATTTAGACGAAACTGATGTGCTGACTTGTTTGTTGTTCCTTAAGGTGGATGAAGCACAGTATAAGAAGATCCTTGGATACATTGACAGTGGGAAAAAGGAAGGAGCCAAGTTACTTTGTGGTGGGAGTCCAGCAGCAGATAAAGGCTACTTTATCCAGCCAACCATCTTTGGAGATGTGCAGGACAACATGAAAATAGCCAGAGAGGAAGTAAGAATCATGCCATAGTACATTTCTAACTTATGCCATTGTGTTTATATTGAGTCACATTACGTAACCAGATTGCTGAATTCCAGGCCTCTTTCTTAAATGTGTGCCCTTATATGTGAGGCTAGGCAGCACTATGAATATTGGAGAGATTCCTGTTTTATAAACACGTATTAATCTTGCAGATGATTTTCTTTTACAGATTTTTGGGCCTGTTATGCAGATATTGAAATTCAAAACCATTGAGGAAGTCATCCAGAGAGCAAATGAAACCAAATATGGGCTGGCAGCTGCTGTTTTCACAAAGGATATTGATAAAGCAAACTATATTTCCCAGGGCTTGCGAGCTGGAACTGTTTGGTAAGCTCTAAACATCAGAATGGAGCTCAGAAGTAAAAAGCAGAGGCTCAATGGTCCATGCTGCAGTCCCTTCCAACACCTTGGAAGTATTAAAAAAATATATTCTTTTGGTCACCCTTCCCCCACACCCCCTTTTAAATGAATACAAACTGGAAGCTTGTATTCAAGAGTTCCCACACCACCAAGGAGTACTTGCCCTCCATTGTATTGTATTTGTATTTGTATTTGTATTTGGTTTATTTGTATGCCGCCCTTCNTCTTCAAGGGCAGCCCCATGTAGAGCACATTGCAGTATTCCAGCCTAGAGATCACAAGGGCCCGAGTGACTGTTGTGAGAGCCTTTCCTTCGTGTTCATTAGCAGACAATAAATGCAGCCGTCAAAGTCTTCCACAGACTCCCATTAACCAAATGCTTTTTTACTGCACAGAGTCTGCATCAAAAAGTCGTCTCAAGAACGGTTTGCGCTGAAAATCCTTCTCGATCGCCCCAAAGCGAGAAATGAGGTACAGTACTTCTTCTGTAGGGAAACGTTTTGGAACTTTGGCTGCCTGGGGAATTCTGGGAGTTGAAGTCCACAACGTTGGACACCCCTGAGCTCAGACAAAGCGACTGACCATTTTAAACCAATGAAACCTAATATCCCAAATACTAAAATGTTGTTGCAAAGCATAAAGTGATTGTCTGACAATATCCTCATAGCACAATGCCTTGTAATGAATCCTGGCATTGCCCTTGAGTTATTAAATTGGATCTGAATAGATAAAAAGACCTAATAGATGCAGGAGCATACCTGGAAGAATTTGCTTAGAAAAGCCTCACTGTAAAATTGAGCCCCAGAAAGATGCTGGTAGCTTGGCTTTTATTTATTTATTGAAGATGTTGATACAGCGCCAAGCGGATTGTGACTCTGCTTGGACAAAAGTATTAATTTCCTGTCAAGAATTTGCTTCCTTGAGCCTGGTCCTGGTCCAGTTCCAAAGCAGGCTCTTTCAGTCAATGCCAGAAGCCTCCCGAGATTCCCCTTAAGGCCAGCCCGATTCCACACAGGATGGGGCAGAGTGATCCTAAGAACCAACTTTGAGATCTGCTCCTGTTGCATTTGTCATCCGCTGCTGGCCTATGGATGAGTTTGTGGGTTTTGATGATGCCATCCAGAGTAGCTCCTCCCTCCTCCTTTCTTCTCCTTCTCTTTCTCCCTCTTTCTCCTCCTCTCTCTTCTTCTCCTCCTCCTCCTCCCTCCTCCTTTCTTCTCCACTTTTTCTTTCTCCTCTCTCTTCTTCTTCTCCTCCTCCTCCTTCTTCTCCTTCTCTCTCTTCTTCTTCTCCTCCTCTTCCTCCTCCCTCCTCCTCCTTTCTTCTCCTCTTTCTCCTTCTTTCTCTTTCTCCTTTCTCCTCCTCTCTCTCCTTCTCCTCTTCCTCCTCCTCCCTCCTCCTTTCTTCTTCTCTTTCTCTTTCTCCTCTCTCTTCTTCTCCTCCTCCTCCTCCTTTCTTCTCCTTCTTCTTTCTCCTCCTCTCTCTTCTTCTCCTCCTCCTCTTCCTCCTCCCTCCTCCTCCTTTCTTCTTCTCCTTCTCTTTCTCCTTTCTCTTTCTTTCTCCTTTCTCTTCCTCTCTTCTTCTTCTCCTTCTTTCTTCTTCTTCTCCTTCTCTTTCTCCTTCTCCTCCTCTCTTCTTCTCTTCCTCCTCCTTTCTTCTTCTCCTTTTCTTTTTCCTTCTTTCTCCTTCTTTCTCCTTTCTCCTCCTCTCTTCTACTACTACTACTACTACTACTTCCCTCCTCCTCCTCCTCCTCCTCCTCCTCCTTCTTCTTCTTCTTCGCATTATTAGAAAGGCCATTTTGCCCCGTTGGCCTTCAGTGTAGTGGAGCTGGAAAGATCTGGCCTTCTCCAGTTCTGCTGAATTTGGTTTGTGAAAAGGGTAAAGGAGAGGCTCCTCCTGGCAAACCGGTTAGTTTCCTCCCGTGGATCCGTGGGGTTTCAGTAGGTTTTCTCCCGTTTTGCACCAGGTCCGGCTTCACATGATGTGCGCGGCACACCCCAACATCGTCCAGATCATTGAAGTCTACGCGAACAGCGTACAGTTCCCCCATGAGTCCAGTCCCAGGTAAGGTGGCACAGCCGGATCGCAAAAGAGAACTTCCGTTTTGCGTGTAAGGCACATCTCCTCCTCCCCGCCCCAACCTCAAAAGGGTTACTGCCTGGAAGGAAAAGTGAGGGAGGAAGACACAGAAATAAATATGGCGGTTGGACTATGGCGCAGTGGTTAAATGCAGTACTGCAGGCTACTTCAGCTGACTGCAGTTCAGCTGTTCAAATCTCACCGGCTCAGGGTTGACTCAGCCTTCCATCCTTCCGAGGTGGGTNCCAGGAGGGACTCAGGGCGGCGAACAACTCAAAGGGGAAAGGGAACATAAACAACAGTACACATAATTAAAATTGTCAATGTATGCATTCAGTGCAGCTTTTAAGTTTGCGGTTCCGATGTTAAATTTGTTAAATCCTTGTATAGCAAAGGAAATGCAATCAATAACATTTCTAATGCCAAGTGTCTTTTGCAGGATCAATTGCTACAATGTCTTTGGGGCACAGACTCCATTCGGAGGGTTCAAAGAATCTGGCCAAGGGCGTGAGGGCGGAGAATATGGCCTGAACCCATACATGGAAGTAAAAACAGTTAAGTATTGTCACTCCTCCTTCCTTTGAACTAACATCTTCAGATCCTGTTGGGTCAAATACAAAGGAAGCATTTATTTTAACCTCGATCCTAATCAGTGACCATTGGTGCTTTGCAGAGTTCCGATAAAATGAGGACCCAGCGCCCTCCTACCTTGCAACCTGAGTAACAGAACATCTTGTTACTTAAATAATAATAATGTGTTTATTTCCTTTTCCCTCCCGAGGATGGCAACTTTCAGTTAGCTCCCATATAGTTTACCTGATAGATGTTCAACAATTCTAACCCAATTTAATGGATAGTATTTTTTGAACCGTAAGAACATTAAACCAAGCTTGTACAGCTTATTTGCCCTTACAATACAAGGCTGGTTGATTGTTATGACTAGAATTGAGTCCAAAATTTATGTTGCAAACAAGATAGTTAAAGTGAATTTTGCCCCAATTTACGACCTTTCTTGCCACAGTTAAGTGAATCATTATCCTTAATAATACAGTTGTTAAGTGACTCTTGCTTGTTCAGGTTGCAAAAGGGGATCACATAACCCTGGGACGCTGCAACCGTCATAAATGAGAGCCAGCTACCAAGTGTTGGGATTTTGATCACATGACCATAGGGATGCTGCAAGCTCCTCACAGTTGTTAAGTGCGAAAAAAACAGTCATAAGTCACATTTTTCAATGCTGCTGTAACTTTTGAGTAGTCGCTAAATGAACTGTTGTAAGTCGGTAACTACCTGTAGGTTAGATTTCATGTTTTCCACTCTCTCTTCTTGGTAGGTCACCATCAAAGTCCCACAAAAGAATTCTTGAAGAGGAAATACCTGAAACCGTCCATCTATTTCACCCCATGCTTGGTAGCAAAACTTAATGGGGAATTGAAGAATTCTACGTTAGGAAAGAAAATCTGGTTCCTTATAAGCGTCTCACAGAATGTACATGTAACCAATGATTAAGAAGTCTTTATGTCTCTGCTTAAACCATCCTTGGCTCTTTTTCCCAAGGCCAAACACTTTAATAAGAGCAAAAAAAAATTCCAATGTTCTTCTCTCCAATGTAACCTGAAGAGAAAAATCTACAGAAGCAGGCTACTTTTGAGTAACGAATGTTGTAAGACACCTCTTCTACATTCCTTTTTTTTTACTTTTTCTAATACATACAAGATTTTATGCTTAACCTGTCTTTGTATTGCATCGGTCGGGAGCCGTTTGGGATAGTGAGATGGGAGGCATATAAATTTAAGGAATAAATACGTTTGCTTCACGAGGTGAGGGCTCCAGATGGCCAAGGACCAGGATTTGGGGAACAATGGGGAGGGGATGTAGATCCTTAAGTGTCAAATTTTTGGGGGTGGTTGTGTAGCCACAAAAGCTCAAATGAAATTCACAGGCAGACTCCTTTAGAAAACGCTTCCCAAGATGTCTGGATTTCGGCTCCCACAATCCCACAGCCTGCTATGAATTCTGGGAAGGGGAAGGCCAAACATCTTGAACTCCACAAGGTTTGGAGAAGCTGCCCCCTGCCCTGATTTACCCAAATCGAGTTTTAATCGTTTTGCTTCCTCGGATGGTGCTTGTTAAAATAAAAAATAATAACCGGTTGCACAAGAGCAGGGATACAACACAAAGTATATAACGTAACTATAGTATATATTTACATATTAATATTGATATGCTGTATTAAATAGCATGACCCAGCATCAAAGTCTTAAGGGCCGAAGAGTGAAATTCTCACCCGCTCCCCTCAGAAACTGGCAGGGTTTTTTNAAGCCCTATGAAGCGGTATATAAGTCTAACTATTGCTATTGCAATGCAAGCAAGGGGAACCGGAGGGGGATGGGGCTCAAGCCCCCCAGCCTCCCTTTTCACTGCCTGGTGTGGATGGGAACCCCAGAAGACAGCAGCTCTCCCGGGGAGTTCACGGGCGAGCGCGCCTTCCCAGCGTAACGCGAACTAGGCAGAAGGGCAATGCGGGGGCCGGGCTGGGCGAGAGGCTCTGCGCCCGCCTGGCTCGGCTGCCATTGGCTGTCGGGAGGCGGAGGGTCGGGCCCGGGCCCCTCCCCGGCCAAGAACGGGCATGAAAAGGCAGCGGCGGAGGGCCTCCCTCCCTCCCTCCGCCCGAGAAAATGCTGCGCCTGGCCCTGCGGAGCTCTGCCCGGCTGCGCCCCGGGCCGCTGCGCCCCCTGGCCTGCCAGCCCCTCTCCAGCGCCGCCGTGCCCGCGCCCAACCCGCAGCCCGACATCGCCTACAACAAGGTGAGGGGGCTCCGGGGGGGCCCCCGGCCCGACCTTCCCGCAGCGGGACCTGCGCGCGATCAGCAGGGCAAGAGGAGGCGCGAGCATGTGCAGAGCGCTCCGATTCGCCTTCTCCCCCGCCCCACTGGCGACTGGAGGGCAGGAGGGGGCGTGGGGGGTCAGGACAGCGCGGGCATCCCCGCACGCCTCCGCCTGCACCTCCTGGCTGGTGGGCGGGGGTCCTCCTCCGTCGCGGGCAACCCCCTGCGGGCGCTTGCTTTGAGCCGCGGCTTCCTCATCGCAGGCATCCGCTGCCAGCTTACCTGCCGCCCAGGTGGGCACAGTCGGGGATGCCGCAAAACCATCCCACGTTAAGTGGGGCGAGCGGAACCGGTGCAGACCTTGCCAAGGCTTCTCGACCCAACGCGGCCGCGCGCGTTATCCTATTGCAAAATAGGCGCTGGACAAGCCGCAGAGTCATCTCTGACCTGCGCAACGAAATCCTAGTGAGCTTTCACTCGTTCCGGCTCCTCTCCTTTGGCCTCCTTCGGTTCATCATGGCCCTTGGTCCTAACAGAAGCCCCTGACTGGCATTATTAGATCTCTCCATTGCCAGATTAATTTCCCCTAAATTTGCCTTGTGGGAAGAGGACCTGGTTGGGAGTCAGAGTAGAGCAGTGTTTCTCAACCGTGGCAACTTGAAGATGTCCGGACTTCAACTCCCAGAATTCCCCAGCCAGCGAATGCTGGCTGGGGAACTCTGGGAGTTAAAGTCCGGACATCTTCAAGTTGACAGGTTGAGAAACACTGTCCTAACCACTGCTGGGGAATTCTGGGAGTTGAAGTTCGGACATCTTCAAGTTGCCAAGGTTGAGAAACACTGGAGTAGAGTATCTCCCCGCTGACCTAGGTTCGCTCTGACAAATATTTCTCACGTTTTTTCAATGATTGCAAGCAATGTTGTGGACAACTGCTGGAGATGGTGACTTCAAAGGTGTGCTGCCACTGGATGTGGAGGTTCTGCATAATGGTCCTGCGTTTATTGGCTGTGAAAGCAAAGCAGTTCCCGTGTGTGGTTTACTGCCCATTGTTCCAAAACAGTCACACGTAGGGGATGAAGATTCCTCTCTTAACCCTTCTTTGTTCTTCTGAATTGGCAGATTTTCATTAACAACGAATGGCAGGATGCGGTCAGCAAGAAAACCTTCCCCACCATCAACCCCTCCACGGGGGAGGTCATCTGCCAGGTGGCAGAGGGCGACAAGGTACGATGTATCGCACACAACAACCCTGTTCGTCCGCAAGAGAACTCAGTGCCATCTGCAGGTTTTGGTTCTGAAAGCTTAAGCAGTCGAATTGCCCTTGCGAATTGGTTGCAATCCTGACAGGCATCACTTGTCGAAAGCTGCCATGAGACCCTCAAGGCGATACATTTCTCCCTGGCTTTGAGTTCTCTGGAAGGACGCTACCTAGTCCAGGTTGTGTCCGAGGGTGTGTTGCGACATAGAACCTGCCCGCTTTGCTCTTGCCAAAAGACTGTAAAGCAATCCATCCTCTCGTTGCTTTAAGGCAACTTGCCCAAAGCAGGGTAAACTTTCCTCAATCCGGCCAGGCTTTACATGGCCACAGGCCTGTTTCCACTCTTTCGCAAGCGACGATAGGGGAAGCTGAGGCAGCAATAACTCCACTCGCCAGCGGGGATGACGCAGCAGAAATTGCGCGGGATCTCAGAAGCACTTGTGTGCAGGAGGCTTGGAAGGGGTGGGTGGGTGAGGAACAACTCCTTCGCGGAGATTAGAAATATGGAACAGTGGGAAAGGGCAGCCGTTGCTGTGTAGAAAATAATTAACCAGGTTGATATTTAAGTGCCCGGACTCCACCGTTGGTCTGGGTATTCAGTCCTGGCAACGTATAGTAACTTTGCAAATGCAGACAAAGCAATCGGCAAAAGGCGGCCCAGATTGAAACCTCTCTTCCGTTTGAGGCTCAGAGGGTTTGCTCTGATTAGGCCAGGCGTTGCTGGCTGGGGAATTCTGGGGAATTGAAGTCCACAAGTCTTAAAAGTTGTCAAGGATTAGAGAGTTCTGGGTTTGTTCTGCAGCTCGAACCTCTGACCTGCTAACAATGCAGCTGCCATTTTCCTCGCAACCTCACAAAGGGTGGTCCGCTCATGCTAGCCTCCCCGGGTTCCTTTGCAGGCCGATGTGGACAAGGCTGTGAAGGCAGCCAGAGATGCCTTCAAGTTTGGGTCACCTTGGAGAAGGATGGATGCTTCCCACAGGGGCAAATTACTGAACCGGCTGGCTGACCTGATTGAAAGAGACCGGACCTATCTGGCCGTATGTATGGGGCGGCTGGGGAGAGGAGTTGCTCTCCTGCAGGGCTCTGCCCTCTTCTCAGAATCCTCCTGCAGAACCTGGCTGATCAATGCTGGCTTCCCATTTCTTCCCAGGCTCTGGAAACGTTGGACAACGGCAAGCCATACGCCATCTCCTACTTGGTAGACTTAGATATGGTTGTCAAGCAAATCCGGTAAGAATGGATATAAATAGATTCTCAACTTGCCAAGCCCAATTCAGGATGGCTTTTTTTTTTTTGCAGAGTCCTTGTTTTGCAGGGAAAGTCATTTTAGTGAAATACAAACATCCTGCTGTTATTTTCTGGCAGTTAATAATACAAGATTTTTTCCCCCTCATTCAAGTAAACCTGAAATGTAAACTGGAAGGAAGGAATCTTTCTTTCTAGAACTGGAACCAGGGAAACAAATCACATGATTGGTTCAGCTGCAGAGATCCCTCAGCCTATTTGAAAATGAGCGTCTGAAAGGATTAAAATAAAAGTCGAAAGATTTCCTGAACTTTTGGTAGAGGGCAAATGTTCTCTTCCCATTTCAAAAGCTGAGCATTAAGCAGGAATTGGATAAACTAAATTGTATCTACTACATATCGAATAATATTTATGGGACCTTGGAATATTGCAACACTTTTAGATATTTGCTTGCATAATAATCACTTTGCAATGACCCTTCTTCCCCACTAGTTTTTTTTCATATTTGCCGCATTTTTTGGAGTATAAGACACGCCTTTTTCCCTCAAAAAAGAGGCTGAAAATCTGGGTGTGTCTTATACATCGAATACAGCATTTTTTGCCTCCCAAAGCTCCGCCCCTTCACTAAAATGGCCGTGCATAGCTTGTAGGAGGCTTTCAGAGAGCTGGAGGCTGGGGAGGGCAGAAATCAATTCCCCCCCCCCCGCCCTCAGGAGCACTCTATAAACCTCCATAAGGCTAGGCATGCAATTTTCTTGACAAAAAACAGGCCCGTTTTAGCAAAAAACGACCCCCCCCCCAGCATTCTGCAAATCCCCCAAAGGCTATTCATGCCTTTAAAAAAAAATACACCCGTTTCCCAAAAAACGGGCCATTTTGGGGAGGTTTGTAGAGTGCAAAAACTCCCCCCCTTTCCGGAAAGCTCTTTAGTTAGAGTGATTGATGAGAATTAGATTGATCAAGTGCTGTGCCAGCAGAAACAAAGTCTTAGGTGATGCAGATTGTCAGTGATTTCCCTCTCCAGCACATGGATAAATACACCTGGAAACATCTACCTACCTACCTACTCTCTCTCTCTCTCTACTTATCTACTGTATTTCTCTTTCCTTCTCCCCCACCTACCTACTGTATTTCTCTATCTCTACACACTGAATTTCTCTCTCTCTCTTTCTCTCTCTCCCTTTATCTACCTACCTACCTACCTACCTACCTACCTACTCTCTCTCTCTCNCTCAACGTTTTACTCGTACATATCTATCTCATCGGTAAATTCAAAATCAAAGTTTTATTTTTTTCTATCTCAAGCACAAAATCCAGAAATGGTTTCCAAATAAAAACAAAAGTAGTTACATTTTTTTCTTTTATCAGAACAGTCAATTTAGCCATCTCTGCTAACTTCATCAACTTTTGCAGCCATTCATCCATTATGGGGATCAAACTGTCCTTCCATTTTTATGCATAAAGTAATCTTGCTGCTGTCAACATACATAACATTAAAGTTCCATTTTTTTCATGTTTTTTTCCATTAAACCAATTTCCCCACCATTATTTCAGTTCTTGAGTGAACTTGGATGTAACGTTTGGTTAATATTATTGATGCTAAAATACAAGAGCAATACAAGAGGATCTTGAGTGAACTTTGAGATGCAACGTTTGGTTAATATTATTGATACTAAAATACAAGAGCATGGTTGAAAGAGCAAGGCATGTTGTATTATCTGAATTGTGATTTCTGTTCAGTATTTGGATCCCTTTCTCTACCTGAATAGGGTCATTAGTACAGCTTATTTTGAACACCTGGAAAACACAACACAGACATTGATTGTAGGTCTTGAAAACTATCTTTGATTGATGTGGAGAAGTGAAACTGGCAATACTGGGAATTGAAATTGATGACAGGGAAGTTGTGGGTGGGCACATGCTGGTTGCAGGCCTAACAGGAAGTCCTTGATTGGCATTGTGCCTGAAGCTGGTATGGAAATGGATGTCAGCTGGTATCTCTAACAACAATTCTACACAATGACGGTATTACTTTACCATCAGTCTTTCAATTGTAATAGGGTGGACGGTATATTGTCACTGCTGCAGCTCAGTAGGAAGACATGAGGTGGGTTGATTTAAGAGTGAAGCAACGTAGCAAACCTTTAATTCATTCTTGTGCTTTCCTTAAACTCTTCTGCGTTTTGTTTAGCAGTTATCCAGTGGATACAAAATAAAGGTTAGTGGCATGCCTATGTGATCATTCCTGATCTCATTCTCTAGTTTTTGTTCAATAATTAAATACAGGCCATATCTAAGATGGCATCCCAGGTTTTAAAGTAATATAATTAACTTTAATCTAGCTCTTTGGCTAAGTTATCATTTCTCTTCCTGTGGTTTCCTGGATAATAAAGTAACTAAAAACCAACAAGTCTCCTTCTCCGCACTTTTCTACACACATGGTGTACTGCTTCTTCCTCTTTTAACTCCACCTTGCATAGAATTATGAAGCTATCAGAACAATATATACAATCTACCTTTCCTTAAGAACAGAGAGATAACAGATATTACATCATGTCATATATGGATTCTTACTTAACATCCACTTTCCTCTTTATTTTTACACACATTTATCCTGTGAGATATTTTGAATGACATTGACCACTGGTTTCATCCTTATTGGAGCTCCTTACATGTGGGTAGCTTGATGTTACCTCATGGGGTTAAAACTTTGTATGGAGAATTTAACTCATAGACCTTCAACTTCATACTATACTTTAGCTTTAGCAATTATTCCATTCCTGGTACTGAATAGTTGAAGGAAGTTATATCTGGAAGGATGGAATTATGAAGTATGTTACCCCAATCTACTTTGAAATAAAAAAATGTTCTTTTAAAATAAAAATAATATATAGTTGGTATTTTGTCTATACTCGATTATTTTTCTTTCTTGTTTCTTCCCCAATAGCTTCCCCAATCTCTGTTAAAACACTGTTTTCATTTCTTTTCTCTTCTCCCTCCTTTTGTTCCCTTTCTTTCCTCCTCTTTGGGTATACAGAGTCCCACTAGTGAATTATTGTATCCTTCATGCTTGGTTGCAGTTTGTTCCTATTTCTAGTCTCTCATCCATTACCACGGTGGCAAAGCACTTTCCACAATAAGCCATAGCAGTGGGCAATTCAGCTGTTGTCAGTTGGGGGGGGGGGCTATATTGATTTTTATTACTTTGCTTTAGTTTTCTACAAAATAGCTAAATTCTTTCATGTTGCTCGCAGCCATCTTTGAATTTTATGTAAAGGATAACATTGGTTGTATCCTTACAGAGTTTTTTGAGTTACTTTTGACTCCTGCCAACTCCTGGACAAAATCCTGCAGATGTCTTGGCAGGATTTTTTTACCCTTTCCTCCTTTCTAGGGCTGAGAGAAAATGACTGGCCCAAAAACACCCAGCTGGTTTCTTGCTCAAGGCAGGACTCTAGCTCATGATATTCTGGTTTCTAGCCTGCTGCCTTAACACTATCACTGAACTCTCTTAAGGATTAAGATGTACCATATATGTGCAAATATAAGCAGTTTTAATATGTTTAGCCTCTAAGTGTTGCAGGAGTAGTTGAGAAGGATTGAAAATGGCATGCAGATTACTCTTCCCTCCTTCGAGGGGATTTTAGGGCAAAGTTATCCAAATCAGCATCACGTGATGGGTGAGTTCCCATTCTTACCGCAACTCCTGCCAACCTAGCAGTTCAAAAGTATGCAAAATGCAAGTAAATAAATATGTACCGCTTTGATTGGAAGGTAACAGGGCTCTGTGCATCTCAGCATATAATCGTGCTGGCCACGTGACCACAGAAGCATCTTCAAACAATGCTGATTCCCTTGGCTAAGAAATGGAGATGAGCAGTGCCCCCTAGAGTTGGACATGTTGGCGGTGGAAAACCTTTACTTTTTTATCCAAATCATTATTATGTTGTAATTTCACAGCTGCATGTATAACTATCCTCTAGAATGTCTATTCTCTTTAAATTTTAAACCTAATGTTACATTTTCCTTTGAGTCAATGGTAAAATATTAATAGTGAGGAAAATTGTTCCTCTAACTTTACAACTTAATGTCTGTACTTTCTTACAACAATGCTTTCTACGTGCTTTATGGGAGTAGAATTCAAAACAATGGACAGCATAACCAAAAGCAAAATAGAATACTTAAAAACAGCCCAAACACGAGAAAACAATACCACAGTATTCCTAAATGCTATCATATGGTCTCTGATTAATTTATTTAATTATTATTTATCTGTTTAGTCCAGTTTCCAAGACTGTTTATATTATATAAATGTATTTGTGGCTGTCAATCTCTGGAGGCTGGAAGGCTGTGAGGCAGTATCTAGGAAGACAGCTCTGTAGCTAAGTTGTCCTTTAGAAGGCTGGCAAAAGCTTTTGGGAAGGTGATCCTAGCAACTTCATGGCTTTTTATTGAGCTGATAGCAGTTAGAATGCTCATTCTAAATACGTAGTGGTTATTTTTAAGTGTAAACCATCAAACAGTCCTTTTGGCCATACAGTTTAATGATTTCAGATTTCAGATTTAATTTATTTGTATGCCGCCCTTTTCCCCGAGGGGGACTCAGGGCGGCTCACAACTTGAGCAAGGGAAAGGGGATACAGACAGTTTGACACCAACACAAAACAATACATAATTTAAAAAGCGCAACAATCATACCGTTCGAGATAGGGGCACTGGGTTGGGATCATAACTCTTTTTTTTCCAATGCAGAATGGGAAGTTGTGGGGATACCTAGGAATATATGACAAATGCTTAGCTTAACAAATGTTTGGGAAGGGGTTTTTTTTTGGCAAATGCTTTTTTTTAAAAAATTCATTGGTGAGGTGGGAGTGCAGAAATCTGAATGTTCTTATGAAATCTTATTTCTTTAACATGCTGATCGTGCACTGAAGTTAATGAGAAGTAATGAAGGATCCTAGTTGCTAAATTGAAGAATGCTGTGATTCATACTTTCAAGATTTGCCATTTTAGACAAATACGACCCAGCTATGGAAATTCATCAGCGAGAAAAAAAGAGTTGCACCTAGACTTGAAGTTGCCATGTATCATTTCACTTCTTTTAGATTTTTCTTTTTTATTAGTTTATAGTATAAAATACAAAAACAAATAATAGGAAAAATAGGGGAAGAAAAAAGGAAGGGAAGCTTGACAAACGAAGCGGGGGGGGCAGAAAAGGTGTTGATTTCCGACTCCCTTTGCTGCAGTAAAATAAGATAGTAATATCAAATCTCAACGTTTTACTCGTACATATCTAT